TTCTGCGTTATTTACTACAAACCTAACGAAGTCTTCCACCCTATCCCAATATTCTCTAGATAAAAGGTTGGCAGACATTCACTCTTTGTCCATAATTAATGCCCTTGTTTAAGCAAGATAATAAAGATAGAAAAGCATTCAGTGAATACAAGTTGATTGTTTTAAAAATTTAGACAATTTTAGCAGCATAACAGCTTAAATTCAATGTTCCTCGAGCCTTGTTCTCTATTTATCCTAATTTAATCAAAATAAATGTTAAACTACTTTAAAGAAAGCTCAAACCTATTCTAAATAATTGAAAACAAAAATTTAAAAAAAATTGACTGCATAACGGCATGAAATTGAGCACTTCCCAGGCTTAATGCCTTCTTTTCACAAATCCAATATTAAAATAACAATAATTTTAAATCAACATACACATAGATCAATCTCAGGTCAATTTCAGAACAAAATACTACTACAACTAAAAGGTTAAGCAACCACATAACATAATAACTATAATCTATAAAGAAATAAGTCCAGATTCCAAACTCAATAGGGGGAAAAGGAATCAAACAACTAGAAAAATACAACATTTAAAAGCAAATTGAAAAGAATTGAGTAAAAGTGACAAGAAACATATTTACTAAGTCAAGACATATATCTTATTGTTAATAAAAAAATTAATTTAGCTTAACAAACTAAATAATCACAAGCTAGCACACATTGAATTGAATATTTAATAATCACGACCACATGTTGAAAAAAATTATTTATCTTAAAAACATGTTTACTAAATTTTATGCAAAATTAAATATCTTAATAAATTAGTTTGTCTTAATGAAAAACATGTTTACTAAATTTTATTCAAGGTTGCCCCACCACATAGTTTACCGAATTTAAATAACCACAAGCTAACTAAACACTCTAATATTCTCTCTTGTCTTTCATAGAAACAAACTATTAGGGACATAAAACAATAAAATCAATCAACAAAATATCACAATTAAATCTCAATACAGCTTAACAAATTATCATAAACTTAAGCCAATCCAGTTTTAATAGCTAATCTGAATTCTAAGTTCAAGATTAACATTATCAACCTCAGCAACTTCTTCTACATAATGAGATAGAAAATAAGATAGAGAAATACCTCAAAAATGACAAAGTAATAGTGAGAGGCTGCTCTCAATAGAAGAGAGGATGAGATAGTGACAACTTTCAGGGCAGATGGCAAAACACGAGGATTGAGGGGTGGCCAGCGATGAGAACAAGAATCAATGTGTCTCAGTTGCTCTCAAGAGGAGAAATAGGAAGAGGAAGAACAAGACGAAAAAGAGCTAAGGTTTGCCCAAAAATAGGTCTTAGAGGAAGAGGAAAAGGGAGGAAATGGGTTGTGGTTGTTGAAGGCTTACAGATGATTCTGTTTGACTCTCTCTGCTTGCGTCTATGATTGATGCTTGGAGGAAATGAGTTTTGGTTGGATATGGGTCTTGGAAGAAATGGGTTTACTCTGCTCTCATCTCTCTCTCGTGTCCCTATGCTGTGTGCTCGCTGAGGAAGAAGGAAAGAATTAAAGTGAATATATTCAATAGTTAGTACAATCTAATCGTTGAATATATTTTAAAAACCAATACTCGACAGTCATAGTTAAATAACCGTTGGGTATTGACCTTATTATTCAATGGTTATTCAACTATAATCGTTGAGTAATTTAAAATAAAAATAAAAAAAATATTTTTCAAATAATATATATATATATATGTGTGTGTGTGTGTGTGTGTGTATATTATTTTGCTCAAAATATATATATATATATATATATATTCAACATTTAAATTCAGATAAATGTTGAGTATCAAGATATTTAAAAAATAAAAATTGATTTACTCAAATAGTATATATATTCAATGGTTTAATTTTAGTAACTGTTTAGTATTTAAATCAATACTCAATGGTTTTTAAATTTTAATTGCTGAGTAAGAGTTTAATTTTAATTTGTTCGTATACTCAATAGTTATGTTAATAAACCGTTAAATATTATTATACAATATTAAATAGTTTTTTAGATAACTGCTTAATATGTAATTTTAACTTTCTCACTTCCCAATATATATAACATTTTTAATTATAATCATTGAATAAATGCCATTATATATAATAATTTTTGTAGTAGTGTATTTTCAATTAGATACCAAATTTTTATTAGTATGCATAATTTAGTTGAAAATACTTTGGTTCTATTTGGTTACTAAAATGTAATGAAATGTAATAGATTAAAAAAATAAAGATAAAAATGAGATAATAAAAAAAGATGGTGAACTATATTCATAAGAGAACAAGGTAATTTAGTTTATGAAATTGGGAATCATAATTTATAAAAAAATTTTAAGGGCATGATAATTTTCATATTTATTATATGTATTAATGAATTTTATCATATTTATCATTAGAAGAATGGTAATATAATTTATTTTTATATTAATTTTTTTTATTCATTTCATTATATTTATTTTTAATAATCGGGACCTCTTTATATACAGGGACAACAACAGGAGGAAATGATATAATTCATTAATGTGGTGCATCCCTGATTCTGATTCCCGATAGGTTAACTTCTGTGGTGTTTTTGGAAGCATTCAAATATCTTTGAAAATTACACAACCAACAGGTGAGGGATTAGAGATTTGATTAGATTCTCCTTCAAGCCTTCACTGATGAGAAGAAAAAGGGGAGAGAGAGAGAGAGAAAAGTTGACACGTGGGACCTACATTCCACTCGTTCAATAACTCACTTTAAAAAGTTACGAGCTTATTTAAAAATTTTTTATAACTAAGCTCATTTAATAATTAAGTCAAATTAATATGATAATGGATAATATAATCAATATACACTACTCCCTCCATCTCAAATTATAAAATACTTTTATAAGAGATTTACAGTCTAAAATATAAGATATTTTAAGAAAATTAATATTTTATTAAATAAGTTTATTTCAATATTATCATTTCTCTCTCTATTTAATACTAATTAAATATAGATTTAAAGTTATTAAGTGTATCTAATAAAATTTATTAATATATAAAATTTTATTTAAAAGTATTTTATAATTTAAAACGGAGGGAGTAAATTTTTAAGAGAGACACAATATAACAATATATAATAATAATTGAGACTCCAACGTTGACCGTTGAAAAATTTAACAGTAAGACAAAATATACTTCATTTTAATTACTTTAAAAAAGTTATTTCAATTAATAATTTAGAGTGCTGGGCACTCTACTGCAAATATTTCAAAAACAAAATAATGCATTATCTTTACCCTAACAACAATAATTGTACCCACCAGGCCACTGCACTTTCTCCTATATCTGGTTAAGAGATTTTGATTGATGCACGAAGTAGTGCTACCTTATGGTGATTTATAACTTAAAATTATTGTAAACAAGACTGCCCACTCATGTCCTTATCCTTGTTGATCAATGATTTTGAAGTTGAAACCCGCATACATACATATATTAGTAAGAGATTCGCCAAATTATAGATCATACTTTGGGGTCGAGCTTTAATTCGTGCTTTGCAGGATTGCATGATTATCAGTGTGTTTGGATTATTTTCTAACTGAGGTTGGGATGAGCTAACTAAGGTTAGGATGTAAAAAAGCTAAAAAAATTTGTTGGGATGAGCAAAATATTCCAACCTCATTTAAGGTCAAAATGAGCTTTTTCTCCAAAGCTACCAGACCTGGCTTTTATGTTAATGTTAGCATCAGCGTTGCTCATACAGCCGCACTTATGTCTCAATCTCTACTCTCTCCATCCCTCACACAATTGCACTCTCAGTCTCTCTCTCTCAAAGACAAACATTGCACTCTCGGTCTCTCTCTCACTCAGTTCTCATGTTGTCAACCGTTGCCCAACTCGCCTGCCATTGTCCCTCGCCCAACTCAAATTCTCCATTCTAACTTCCTTCTCACCACTTGAATCACTGTAATGGTGACTGATGATGAGAGAGACACAAAAATCAAAAGCCTTCTTGCCATCTCTGCCTTCTTTCTCATTTTTAACTAGTGACCATGACAATGTCAGAATCCTCCCATTCCTTCTCTATCCGAGCAACTGTAGGTGTTCGTGTAGTGTGTGTGTTCTCCGATTTGCTCTGTTTGCTCTCCCATGCGTTCTTTGATCTTTATCCATGTAGTTGTGCATGTTCAAGTCTCTGTTTGAAGTCGTGCATGCTCTTCCCTACTATGCTCTGCTTTGCTATTCCATGTGTTCTTCGATCTTCCCTGCTCTTCTCGATCTTTGTCCGATCTTTGCACTCTCTCTCTCTCTCTCTCTCTCACGGAGTCATGGTTGTTGCTCACAACATGATTCAGGCTCACCACACCAGTCACCCTCACGGCCTCACCCCTCAACCTCGACCTTCTTCTTCTTCTTTGAGTTCAAGTACTCTCTCTCACTCTCGTTCATGATCACAAACTCACATCTCACTAATGGTAATCACCCTTACCCCTCGATCTTCTTCTTCCACCTAGCTTTCTCATCTTCCACAATGTGCGTTGCTGTCGTCCCTTACCCTTTGCGCTGCATCTCTCTCTTCATTATCTCCATTACACTCTCGGTCTCTCTCTCACAAAGTCACAGTCTCTCTCTTCATTATCTCCATCTTCAACAAATTTTTTTAGTTTTTCATAATTAAATATTTTAATTTTTTATTAGATAACATTATACAGTTAGAATTGAATTTTTTTATTATATATTTTTTAAAAAATTAAGATTTTTTAGTTATTAATTGTAATTTTAACTTTAATATTTTTTTACTTTTTAATTAGTAGCAAAAAATAAATAAGAAAATTTAGGTTTATTTTTATCATTAAACATCTTAACTGACTTTTACCTTAAATCATCCAAATAAATTTCAATTTGTATAATTGACTTCTAAAAAAAAGATATCCAAACATAAATCACATTACATTCATTGACTTTTTTTGTAACCTCAATTTGTTAATCTCAATTGTAAATTTTTTAATTCAAACACACATTATATTGCTTCACTTATTTTAAGGAAAATAATCAAATAATGGCAGTTGGGAAGGGAGCAAATACAATCTACATTCTATACTCTGCAAATAATTAAATTTTTACAATAATAACTATTGTTTATGATCTGCGAACTAATAAAAATTACTGGCTACAGATAAGCAAAAATATGCCTCCAGGACAAAGCACCGACATATTTCATGAGTTGAGTGCCGTAGCAAGAAGTCCAACTCTGAACCCAGGTTTTGTCATCCCATAATCATCCCTGCAATTGTATGCCTTCACAGACCTTGCTTCAAATCCATTAATAATGGACCATCTTGCAGAAACATCCTCGTCGTTCCGAGGTTCGTCGACCCTTTTCCTAGTTGACATCTCGTTGGCTGTTCGCCTGTAAGAGCTGAACCACTTGGCCTGCACGTAGCCGTGTCTCCTCCATGGTGGGACCAAGAGGTCCGCTCTCTTCATGGAAGCTTTAATGGCGGTGCACATCAGCCTCACAATCTTCTTCAGCTCCTCCACTCTGCCCACGAAGATCACCGGAAAAACATGAAGCAGAGATGAATAGTGGCTCGTAGGACGAGCTATCTCGAATTCTCCGGCAAGATACACTTCTACTATGTATCGTTTTCCTCCCATGTTAATGTCTATGTACTCATAATCGCCTCCTGGGAATCTCGCATTTCTGTTCCACTTGGATTTGCAAAGCCCTGAAAATATAGAGATGATTCCTCGTTACGTAGATTCCCCTTAAGATACCCATATCCTAATGAAATTCGTTTTCTTTTCCCTATGTCCCCGTGATTCACACAGTCTCGTATTATTGGGAATCATTGACTATGTTTAAAAAAAAAATACTCATTTTTCTATGAAACAAAATCAAGTAATGCAATGTTAAAAAAAAAAAAAAAAAACTCACCAGCATCAAAGCCTTTCCCTCGCAATCGACTCATCAATCTCCGTCTGAATTCCAGCGACGATTTTTCTCCGACGGACCCATAAGCAACTTCAACTTCTCTTCTGATCTTCTCCTTGGCATTCCGATCATCTCCATCAATTTCATTTCCTTCAAATAAACTCTTTAACTTTTCTTTCTTCTCATCAGAACCAGACCAATCGTCTTTCTCAACGTCAATCAGTTCATCGCCCTCCTCGCCTTTATCGTTAACCCCGCGCGCCTCCTCTTCTCCTCCCACGTCACCTCTCTCGTTGTTCTCCATGAACGACTTCACGAGATCGGACAAATCAGTGTTCGAGCTCTCCGGTGAGTGATCGCTCCCGCTGCTCTCGCACAGCCTCATGCGAGCAATGTCGGCGTCAAACGCCGCCGCGACTCTCTCGAACCCCACCGGAATCCTCGCCATCATCACGATCAAGTGTTAATTGCCCCCCTCACAGTGAATTTACAAAGAAAAGATCAGAGCCCTTTTCGCTTCTTTGCTCTTTTCTATCAGGGGAAGCCAAATCCTATAAAGGCCTGAAAATTTTTGTGACTTGCTGCAGAAAGAGGCGGAAATTGAGCGGGGCTGTGTCGTCGAAATGGCGATAGATGATTTCATAATGTGGTAAGCATGAAAACCAAGACGGCGTCGTATTTATACTTTACATGTTTGTGAGATATCCAAATTAAATATAGCCACTAGAATGTATATAGACCAAATTATGACACTCTTCGAAGAATGTAGTCAGATTAGGGTCCAGATTCAATTTACATTTGTGCCCTGATTATCATTTGGGTTCATTTGCTTGGATATTAACCTTAACCACGCGGTCAATCTGTTTCAACACTTCAATACTCGCCTGTGGAAAGAAAAACAGGGGACAATTTATAATATTATCTATTTATCTCGGTCTTTTCTATTTTTGGTTTTATCTATATTTGCAAGTAGTTATCATTCTTCAGTTGTTTTTATTAGCACATTCCTAAAGTCCAATTTGATGCTATCACTATTTAAGCGATTGGGCGTCAATTATTTTATTATTGTTATGACTTAGTTTGCAGTGATGTTGGTGTCACAATATTTCACTGCAGCCATTTCACTCCAGATATTTATGCACTTAAATAAATCCAAACTATATTCATATGTCATAATTTAGATTTATTTTAGTATAGTATTATCTCTATAGTATATTTTTACCACTCAAGCTTAATTGTAGAATTGAACAACATAAATAATAGTTTGGGTTGTTTAGTTTTGAACAATAGTATTTATTTATTTGAACTTTAGAAAATATTTTGATTTAAACTTTAAATGATAATTTATGTTATGTGTATTAGTATTTTAAAACTACATAACCTGTAATTTTATGATGTGAATTAAAATTTTTATTACTTTTTGAATTTTATTATTTAAAAAAAATAATAGGGACTATGCGTGCGGGGCAAAAACAAAAACCCTGTTATATAAAAAAGTTTTTCAGGTTTGGCTCTTCGAGGTTTTTTTTTTTTTTTTTTAACCAGCAATTGGCCCTTCGAGGCTTGAACCAATCAAGAGTCTTCCGTAATTTTCAGTTTTTCACATCTCATAAGATATACCTATTATATCTGATATATAGTATATATTATAAAATACATAATTTATTAGTTTGTTAAAATATTTTTATTGATTACCACTAACTTTCCATCAATAAAAGAGATATTTATGTACTTGTTAGTATATCTATTTTTTCCTCTGTAAATTAAATCATTTAAAAGAACACATTACTTTTAAAATTATTTTATGTATGCTAAACATTTTTAAAATTTTATATCTGACACATTTTTATTAATTAAGTTTTATAAAATTTTAGATATTTATCCTCCTCTCTCTTCATATCTTAATAATTAAACTAATCAATTTAACTATTAAACATAAAAAGTTAGAGTTGTAAATTATTGATAAAGTAGTTGTAAATAATTAATATTAAACTTTGATAATAACATATGATTGTTTAACTATTGAATATTTAAAGTTATAGCCGTAAAAAATTAAAATTATAGTTGTAAATCATTGATAAAGTAGTTGTAAATTAATTATTCGATTGATATAATATGTGTTTAATAAAGGTGTCATTATCTTTGCAACTTAATTTCAAATTATGCTCAGGTCTAAATGAACCTGACTGTAGTTTTCAAATTTTGTAGGACTTACTGGTAAATAAGTATATTCCATGAAACCTATACATAATTTTTTCTACTTAAATTCAAAACTCCTAATTTTTAAAATTTTACTGCAATTTAGGAATATAGATTTGATATTAAATTTTTGAAAAAAAAATAAAATTTTCCTCTATTTAAATTAATATCAAAAATTTCATATTCTACCTGTTAATTGCTCTACTTCACTTATTTATTTACTTATAAAATATTATTAATTTTCTTATTTTAGTTGTTCGCTTTCTTAAAATGAAATTAAATAAAAATTTGACAATAAACAAGTAAAATAAGATAATAAATAATAGTTTGTAAATAAATAAATAACATACAGTATATGAATAAATAAGTTGTTTTTAGATGACTGAAGAGCCTAAAATGAAAACCAGTTATGTAGGATAATTAACAATATTTTATAAGTAAATCAACAAGTGAAATAAGACAATAAACAAGTAAAGCAGAGAAGTTTTAATATTAATTTTAATGATAGATAATTTTATTATTTTTATTAAAAATTTAATATCAAATTAATACTTTTGAATTGTAGTATAATTTTAAAAATTTAAAATTTAAATAATTGTGATTAAGAAGTATTTATTAAAAATTCACGAAATAAAACTAATTGATTCCTGAAAGGGTATACTGAAAACTAGACACGCTTTTTTCCTAATTAAAAAAAAAAAAAAAGAGCACATGAAATGAAACGATCGTGTGTGGACCACCACCAACTCTGTCACGTAGTAGCACGGTTTGCAATGTCGTCATATTCTGGACATATCTGTATTCAATGTGATGTGGAAACTGGGCGACGTGAGCAGTGAGGAATGGGAGCGGCCTGCTCATCTGGCAAAGGCTCGAAGGGGTAAAGAACCATAATCAACGAGCAGAGTAATTATGAGATGACCATCGACGTGAAAAAAAGGGAGGCGGTGGGATAAAGTGACCAGGTTCAATGAATCTCAAATTTGTGTCCTCGTACATTGAATCTTATTGCCTGTGTTGCTAGCCTGGTGCTTGATATGCAACTGGGTTTTGGGCCTTGGTCTTTGATAAGTTAACGGTGGCTTTGAAAACTTTGGTTGCGTTGCATATTTGCATGTGATTTCTGTGATCTTAAATAAATTAAAGGCTGAAATTCTTTAGCGCAAATTCACCAAACCTCACCCTTTTTGCCTGTAAACTGCTATCTTTATTTGTCTGCCTCATGCTCATACTCCAACTATTTTTAAGTATAAGAAAAACTGTTATATCTCTCCTTTATTTTCATTTACAAAGCAAAACTACAAAATTAAAGAAAAGCATTTATCACATCTTTCTCAAATTATCTCTCATAAATTCAATATTCATTAATTATAAGGATAATTTACTATAATTTTTTCAATTTCATACACAATTATTATATTTAATCAGCTTTCTTAAATAGTCTGAATTAATTATTTTATCTTATATTTAAAAACTAAGAGAGTTTATTGCCTTGATAGTATTTGATAAATTAGATACATGCGAGTGACATGTCATTTATATGAAAGTGCTTTTAAATGTATGATGGTTTGAATTTGAACTAAATTCTTTATTTAAATACATAAAAGTAATTGGATTCCATCTTTTATTGTTTTTTTTTTTGTAATGTCAAATTCCTTCTAAACTTTAGCCATTTAAAATTACATTTACCCCAACATTCTCATTTTCGTTATGTTTTCATTATCAATGTTTCTATTAGTCTCATCATTTTTTATTCTCATATTTTATTAATTGAAAGATAGAAATAAACTTGTTATTTTTAATTTTAAATTTCTACTTTGATTTTCAACCTGCCTCTCTTTTACTTTTAAAGTTTTTTACACGGTTCAAATAAGAGGATTTCAAATACATGTTTAAAAGTGAGTTTTTATATTTAATATTAGGTTAAAATGCATAAAGCTCCCTAAATTTTAAGATGGTTATATATAACCCTTATCACATTTAAAAGTTTAAAATCAACCTCCTAATCTTTAATTTTATTTTTCAAAACCCCTTATTGTTAATTATCTTATTTTTTCATGAGAGTTAAAAAGGTCATTCAACTAAAAAATATTACTCCCTCCATTAAAAAATGTAAAGCATTTTTAAACGAATCTCACCTCCTAATAAAATAGTTACCTACTTTTTAACTAACCCTATATTTTTATTAATACCCTACAATAAATATAAAGTCATTATCAATAAGGGTACTTTAAAAAAAAAGACAATGATTACATATCAAAAGACTAAAAATGCCTTACATTTTTTAATATTCAACTTCTCAAAAAATGCCTTAGATTTTTTAACGAATAGAGTATAATTTAGTCTGATATTACCATGCTACATCAATTTTAAAATTTATCTAATATTTAAATATTTAATATTTAAATTTTTAAATATTTTAGCCATGTGCATTGCATTTATCTAACATGAAAAATAAATAAAAATTTATCTTTTAAAATAATAAAATCATGCACCATTGATAACAAAAAAAATATGGATAAAACTAATATAAACATAAATATTTAAAATTTTATACAGTGATAATAATTTTTTTGTTGTTATCAATGCCTCAACTATCTATAAAATATAAAAATTTATTATAAATAGTTATATAATATATTTTTTTGTTTAATACTCCCCCTATTTAAAAATATAAGGTATTTTTTAAGGAATTGGATGTTAAAAAATGTAATGCATTTTTAGTCTTTTGAGGTGTAATTATTGTCTTTTTTTTTTACAAGTGTTCCTATTGATAATGACTTTATATTTATTGTAAAGTATTTAATAGAGATAAATATGAAAAGATAGAGTTAGTTTGAAAGTAGGTAACTATTTTATTGAAGGCAGGATTCGGTTAAGAATATTTTATATGTTTTAACAAAAAGAGTAACATTTTTAGTTGAATGATATTTTAATCCTCGTGAAAAAATAACATAATTAACAATAAGGGGTTTTAAAAAATAAAATTAGAGGTCAGGAGTTTAATTTTAAACTTTAAAGTTGAGGGAAGTTATATACAACTATCTCAAAGTTAAAGAGAATTTTATGTATTTTAACTTTAAGATTATAAATTTAAATTTAAATAGAAATGCTGCCTCATTGCCTTGTGCTCGTAAGTCATTAACTGGAGAGTAGTTGATTAGCTGTTAAGGATCCTCTCTTCCTCCCCTTTCTTCTTTTATTCTGATCATCCTATTTCCACCCTTAAATGATAACATGAATGGTTTAAATTTAATTATTTTATAAAGTAATTATCAAAGTATCATGTAAAAATAAATAAATTTAAACAATTAATAATTAACCTGCACAGTTCACATTTCATAGTTGTACATTTTCATTAAAAAAATTATAAATTAAAGTTTTTAGTTATTTTATTATAGTCGCCAATTGTGTACTGGTCAAATTTTAACAGTTTAAAATTATATGTTTATTTTTTAAATATGATATCAAGATAACTATTCTATAAACAATTAAATCCATATTATTCATTTCTTACGTGAGGGTGGAGATGGGACGAGGAGAAAATGAGAAGAATGAAGGATGAGAAGGGGACCTGTATCCCTTGATGTACTCCACTTGATCGTATACTTACGAAGAATGTTGTTTTGCAATCAGGAGTTTTAAGCATGTATTCCATACTAAGTTACTAACCAGTAATTAGTCTTCAACAATTAAAACTGGTAACCCGCCAACTCATAAAAAAAAAAAAAACAGGTTGGGTTGAAAATACGAGTTCATTTTTATGTGGGGTGGTTTCGACTTTTCCTGCATAATTTGAACTCATAATGGGCTAATCTACAAATTAGTGAGTTGACTTGCTTATTTTTTTAACAAGTAAAAATTACAATATTGTTCTCTCAATTTTCAAGCAATTATCATCATTCAAATTATTAAAATAATTTAAATTACATGCTAATTATTTATTGGTGTTGTTATTTGTCACATTTAATTAGTTGAGATAGTCAAAAATTCATGGCAAGTTAAGTACCTTAGTATAGCATGCACCCAGTCAAAGATTTTTTTACAATTTAATTTGAGTAAAATATTTTTAAGCAGGCATAAAAAATACAACCATCTATTTTTTAAAAAAGTTTATGTAGGGTTTAAATTTTATTGCTATGCTGTCATTTGAAGTAGTGACATCTTAAGTAGTATATGAATCATTTCTAGAGTTATTTAGAATGATTTATAAATCAACCTTTCAATTCTCTTTAACAGCTTTTAAATTATGAGTTACTAGGTTATCAAGTTAAGGATAAATTTTAATTTTTTTATATTGTCTTTGTTATTACGTTTTATTTCAATGAACTTAGAATTTTTCAGCTAACAAAAAAAATTTTAAAAAAAGGTTAACTGCTAACCTTTACTCAAATTAATATTAAATTTAATTTTACTTTATAGACTTCTATATGTTAATTATATTTTCATGTTTAATTGCATGATGCTAATAATTATGATAGATAAAGCTTCAAAAATTATGATAAACTTGTAATTTTTAAAATTTAAAAAAATTATATAAAAACTATTTTTTATTGGTAGTTTAACCTGCTGTGGGTTTGTCGTAATACAACTCACACAAGATGTGGGTTATATCAACCCATGTCACTAAGCTCGCAATTTACTAAGGGTCAACTTGCAGGTTAACTCATATTATCAACTCTATTTACAATGTATCATGTCTTCAAATTTTAAAAAACTGAAGCATCTCTTAACATGTGTTTAGTATAAATGTTATTCCCTCCAAAAATATAAGATATTTTTTGAGGAGTTTGATGCTCAAAAATATAAAGTATTTTTAGTCTTTTGAGGTATAATCATTGCCTTTTTTTAAAGTACCCCTGTTGATAAATGACTTTATATTTACTATGGGATATTTAATAGGGGTAAATATAAAAAGATAGTATTAGTTTGAAAGAAGGTAACTGCTTTATTGGAGGGTTGAGTTTCGGTTAAAAATACATTATATTTTTGAACAGAGGGAGTACGTATTTTACATGTCAATAAGACATCACCAATTAGATGCCAATTTTAATTTCTTAATCAAAGAAGCTGACATTATTTTAATTTGTTTGATATATGTTGGAACAATTTTAGATAGCATTTAGATTGATGGATTTTGATATAATTCATGCACTATATGAAATACCTCAATGTGCATTAATATATATAACAAAAAATAAAAAAATTAAAAAACACGAAATACATGCAGGAGCACATTATGTACTCATGAGGCATGATGCTCATCACTCTTGAAATAATTTCTGAACAATCCATATTTGAGCATTGTTTAATTATTTTTTATCTTTTAAAATAAAAATTTATAAAATATTAAATAAATCTATTAATTACCAATATGTATCATTCACATTTAATCATATTGATTTAAATTTAATATTATTTTTTTTATAATTTTTATAAATTAACCATACAGATTTATTCTATATTGTTCACATTTAAAATAGTTCAGTGTAAATTTATATTATTAATTTATAAAAATTTTAAGAAAAGTAATATTAAATTTGGATTGACCTACTTCAATATTGTTAATAAATGCACTGAATATGCTTCCGAATATATTCTACGTTGTTATGACCAGCTTCCAGAGGCCGAGGGGTATGCACAGAGCAACGCAGAATCAAAAAGCCAATGTAGTGGGCCCAGAAAAGCAGAGCATCTGTACCGTGAGAGGCCGAGTGGGGTGAAGAAGGAACGCGAGAAGCCGCTTTACCCGATCCCTAATTAAAGAAACAGATTGTTTGGAAAAGATGTTTAGTGCGTTAAAAAAAAAAATGAAAGACATTTGATGACAAACAAACTGTTTGCTTTGTATAAAGGATGAAAAAAGATTAAAATCTTAATAATATAATGCAGTAAAATAGTTGTTTTTGAATTTGAATTACCTATCATACTAAAACAAGCACCGATTTATTGTTATCATTATTAATCAGTGTCAAAATAATAAATTATTATTGCTATCATCATCATTATCATCAATATAAGTTTTGCTTCTTCTTCTTCTTTTTTAAAAAAGAAAACATTAGTATCGAATTTCGCTTTTACCTTATAATTTTTTCCGTATGTTCTATTCTTATAATTTCAATAAAATTGAATTACATTTGTTACACAATTTTGCGTAATTTTAGTGTGAAAACACTGAAAAGAAGAGATTAAAAATAAAATTCCATAAAATTACAGCAGCAAATAATTATGTTCCCATGAAAAATACCCCGGATGACTTAAAGAGATTAGGGAGATTTCGCCTCGTTTAGTTATTGATGGTTTGATACACATCGCGCCCTTTTCTTCAAACCTAAAATCTGAACTCAGTTGCCGAAGGCTCAAACCCAAGCTGGCCGTCGCTCACTGCCTCGCACTCACCATATTTTCGTCCATGCTCGCAGTTCGCGTTCTGGTCGTGCTTCTACTTCGTGTGCTTCTTGCCGTCCGTTGCTCGAGTTTCTGACTACTTCATGTGCTTCTCGTCGTCCGCCCCGTGCTTCTGCCTTGTTGCTCCAGGTTTGTGCTTCTGACTTCTTGCCGTCTGTCGTGTGCTTCTGCCATCTTGCTCCACTTGTGAACTGGTATATTTTAATTTTTGTCTCAATGTAAGCTCTGGATACGATTTGAATGGGTTGAATGATTGATTCCTAGCATGCCATCTAAATATATGAACCATTCTTGTTCAATGGGCTGCTCAATCTAATCTAATACTTGCTAAATGATTCGGGTGGATTGAATGATTGATTATTCTGGTTGAATGATTGAGCTTTATTGATGATTTAAGTAGGATCGAAAACTAGTGAAGGGTCTTCAAATCCTATTTCCTTGGGCCTTTTTAAAGACTGTAAAGGCGCTTTTTTCCCCCTCATTTCTTTTTAATTTACGAGGAGAAAGGCATTTCCTTGTCTTGTCCAGTAGTGGTGATCGATAAGAAAGGTCAACCGAAGCACGGACTCCCACTGTTTTTATTCCTACGTAGACACCTCAACGAACTCATGTGGACACTCTGGTTGGCTCAACTCCGTCGAAGTCGGGCATCTTGTCATCTCTCCGGCGTCGTCCTTGTCTCGTATGCCAATAGACTGCAAGAGGAGTTGTTGGCAGTGCGTCCTGATAAGGAATTGATCAGCAACAAAGCTGACTTGAGAGAACTGCTTAACCGCTACTTGAAAGATCTTTCTCGCCACTGATATAAAAGTATTCTATTCCAACTCAAACTGCTGGCAAAGACAGTCCTACTCGCTCTCCTAACTATTTCATCTGGTTTTTGGTTCCTGGTAAGCCATGATAGTTAATAAGTTGGTCTTTAAAAAGGCTTTAGGCTCGGTCAGGCTTATGTAAGGTTCAAGTTTGAGCTAAAAAAAAAAAAATGCCTGACAGGCACAGGCCATAAGCCTTTGTTACAGTCTCTTGCCTAAAGCCTGATCTGGCGTGTTCCCATCCCTAGGCCTGTTCCCCCTCCCCTTGTGTGGCAACTGTTCCAGTTCCCGTTGTCGCCCTGTGCTGTGCACCGTTTATTATTTGATGGGTTATGTTCAGTCTCATTCAATTATTTGACACAATGACCCTATGAGTTCACTTAAATGCAATATTCTCTGCTGTTGAGCTTATCTAGGTGGGGTTGGGGATGTCTATTAAAAATATTTGCTTGAGGATGCCTACATGAGAGTTCAAATATTTTTGTTTTGTGATGGGAAGTGTTACTTGGCAGTGCAATTTTAGTGGCCTTGCAAGTCAATTCAGTAAGGGATTGATTTATAAGTAGTGCCATGGCTCCACAAATGTCACTATTATTTTTATAAACAGCTATTTTTTAATATCTCTTGGTCCTTTGCAGTGCTATTTTCATAATATTTTCTCGTTCACGTATGATTTATACAAATAATTGATGTATACATGGCCAGTGCTCATCTCTGTTGGCTACTGAAATGGTGGTTTTACGTGGTAAAAAATGGACTAGTCTTTATTAAATTTGTCGTTATTGTATAATATTTGAATTTGGTTTACAAATGATGATTTACCATGGTGATGGCGCTATTCTTGGTAGCATAAGTTTGTCTTCTTTCAATTTTGTGTTTATTATATTTATTTTTCAGTTCTCCATATCTGTATGAAGATATGAAACTACAAGTTAGTCTTTAATTTTCATTTAGCCATCACCCGGATCATTCAGCCATGTTGAGTGAGTAAGCGTTGAGGAAATTGGATGGTTGACGGAACTTTTTTGTAACCTCTGCTAACTGGTTAATACTTTCTTATGATTAATAAGGTTTTAAGTTATTGGAATAAACAAATAAGTCTAAACACTCTGTTATACAAGGTCATAGTTCCAAGAATTGTACATTGAAATGAGAAACTGAAACTAGTCTTTTGTCTATTAATTCATAATGCTTTGTACGTATACATTTTCATGCTGCTTAAGTTATTGCTTATTCTTGTCTATCATGCTTTCCTTTTTAATAAACATGCTCCTTCGCATGAAATAAGATTACTACTTGTTGAAGTACTTTTTTTAGATACGTAGTTGGATTTAAACGTTTTGGCGTGTCACATAATTTGCAGGAATTTCAAGCTCTTCGGTTTCATAATGCTGCTAAAATATCATTTTGAAGATGATAATGGCAAAGATAATATCTAGCTTTTGGGGTTCAGTCATATCCACAACTTGATTGTTGTGAAAAACTTATACATCATCTTCCTTTGCAGAGTTTCAAATCTTTTAATATATTTATATCCATAAAAGATCATAATTTCCATGGAAGCTCTAAACTTTCTTTTAGGAGTTTGTCCAGACTTGTCTGTCCCATTAGGTCGATATGGAAAGCAATCATTCGTTATTAGGTCACCTCCACTTCCTTCTCCATCCTTTTGTTCTTCCATTCAGTTCCATAAACCAGCATCTAGTGGAGCCTGTAATAGTATTATCTACAAAGTGTCTTCTAGGAAGAGAACGCAGTGTGGTAGTAATTTAGAACAAGGGGCTGTGACCACAGAGGGTGGCAACACGAGAGCTCAGGTCAGGCCGAAAAGGCTGGCAATTTTTGTCTCAGGTGGTGGATCAAACTTCCGTTCAATTCATGAAGCATCAATTCAGGGATCAGTTCATGGAGATGTCTCTGTTCTGGTTACAAATAAAAGCAGTATGTGATATTTTAAACCTTCATCCTTCTGTACAATAATGTGGGATTTTTGCTTTCCTTAATTATTAGTCCCCCCCCCTTTTTTTGAAAAAGATCACACTCATTAGAGTTTTCTCATTACTTGTGCGTTTCATTCTTTTTGCTCTTTGAGGATAAGGTCATTACTGCAATTAAATGTTATCAACGTGAAAGAAGCTTTGTCCTTTAATGGTGTGCATTGTAAGTAAATTGGATTGCCGTTTTCTTTTTCTTTCCCTTTGCAGACTGTGGGGGTGCAGAGTATGCCAGAGACAATGGCATCCCAGTTATACTATTCCCCAACGATGGACTATCTGCTAGTGACCTTGTTGATACCTTAAGGTCATAACCAATATACAACTTTTTGAGCTGTTAGCTTAATCTCTGGTATTTTAATTCACCGCGCACTGGCATTGATGTTTCTATTTATGGGAGTAACAACTAAGGAATCTCTATGGTTACTATGGGTATATGAAAATATCATCTTTTCTTGATTTGACAAGTTGATTGAATAAGTTGAGTATCCTGATAACTTTTTTATCTATATCCTATTTATAATCTGCAACAACTATTTTGCTATAATATAATATTATGTTTTATATAGATGCTATTTTAGTGTAGTGGACTGTGGACTCCCAGTTAGGCTTATGCTAAATTTTGAAAATTTTTAGTAGCTTCATGCCATTTTCACGTGAAGAAACACTTAGTTTGTCATTTTTGGGACTTGATTGATGTTATGTGACCGTACACAGAGAATAGACTTTGTTTTCTCTTGTTTGCCTTAAAATGAAGTTGGTTAATTATTATGGAGGTAAAGGCAATCTATATTGATGGAGAATACATTCTTCTTAATTAGTTATTGGTAAGTTTCTGAACTTTATTGATATTTTTTTTTTTTTTGACCTGACTGAACTTTATTGATTGAAACATTAGGAAACTAGCAAATACATAATGACGTCCTCTATCAAATTTCTTATTGAACAAGCTTTTCTTACATGGCATTGAATAGTTGTGGACAACTTTTTCTGCATGTGCGTGCAAGTACAAATGGATGCTTCACTGTAGAAAGGAATGAACAATAATTTACCTAAAATGGCAAATGAATGTATTGGTTAGATATGGTGCACGCAAACATGGCTATATCATTAATATATGAAAGATTATCTACATCAGGAGTTTGGAGATTGATTTTATCCTTCTAGCTGGATACCTCAAACTGATACCGGTGGAATTGATCCGAGCTTATGAAAGGTCCATAATAAACATTCATCCATCACTTCTTCCAGCATTTGGAGGCCAAGGCTACTATGGAATGAGGGTACATAGAGCAGTAATTGCTTCTGGAGCGAGGTATGTTTCTTACAAATTATCTCCACCTATGGTCATTGTCATTGAGTACTACACTATATTTGGATCTTGATTATCTTATCTTTGTTTCTCTTATGTATGCTTAGATACTCAGGTCCTACAATTCATATTGTTGACGAACGCTATGACACGGGGCGTATCCTTGCCCAGCGTGTTGTCCCTGTGCTTCCTAATGACACTGCAGAGGATTTGGCTGCAAGAGTTCTAAAGGAGGTAATTGGATCTTATGTCATTGATCCCTGCACCCCTAATAAACGTCGCATTTTGGAGCAACAAGCATCTTTAATCCTGATTCCTGAATGAATTTGATGAAAATTTTTGTTATAAGAAGCTTTCATGATCTTTTAGTCTAGATTTTTAGCTCCCCACCAAAAAAAAAAAAAAATCCAATGGTTGCCAATAACACTGTAGAGAAGTTGGCTTCTAGAGTTCTTACTTCTTAGGTGTCTAATTGGATATTACATCATTAATATCCTGTCCTGTAACAAATGGTAGCATTTTGGAGCAATAGGCATCGTTGATTGTGATAATTAAATGAAATATGATTAACATATCTTTTGCAAGTCTTCATGATATTTTAGACAAGATTAATCTATTATAATTTCATCAGAGATGAAACAATGATCAAATTGATCCCTTCATGAAATTTCACTCTCATTTTGGGTTTTCAAGGTCCCTTAACAACATTGTGAACAAGTAACGTTGCTAATGGCATTTAACGGTTTCATGTGACATTAAATGGGCCCTGTTATTAAATCCATTCGCAAAGTCTGGATTCAGTGATCAGATTGGATAAAATCTGAAAATGAAGGACTGACATGGGAATAGAAGAAACCCGTTAGAGACTAATTTGCCAATATGTATGTCTAGGACCAAAATAAGATTTTGGCTGGCAGGTGGTTTAGTAACTTGAATGTTTTCATGTTTTCACTTGCAGGAGCACCGGTTATATGTAGAGGTGGTCGAAGCCTTGTGTGAAGAACGCATAGTCTGGAGAGAAGATGGCGTTCCCCTTATTCGAAGCAAAGAAAACCCCGATGAGTTCAGCTAAAAAAAGAAGTAAAAACTGCCCCATTTTTGAGGTCTCGAGTCCATCGCTGAAGATCTTCTAATTTCACTTTCATGTTATAACATCACGTTCCACCATTGCTTTTTACAGCAATACGTAACACCTGATGAAATTGTTGCTAATTCGTGGTTTTAGCCTCTATAAAATTTGTAATAATTGACGAAATTAGTGGTGAATAATGATGTTTGAGCATCAGATGGGTTTTGAGGGGCCCTGATTAGAGTTGTGGGATTCTTCTCGTATGTGCCCCTCTAAAAGATGCTGGGCTTTGGACCTACGTACTTCATGGAGAATAACATTAGTCTCACTTCAAATTTTCTTATGCAACAATCCCTTCGTCTTAAATTTCGGAGAATAACATTTGTCTCACTTCAAATTTTCTTATGCAATAATCCTTTCATCTTAAATATAAGAAATTTAAGATGAAGGGATTGTTGCATGAGAATTTAGAGAATGTCTTGAAAAAGCCAGCCTTGTTGAAATCATGTAACATGCTCTGAATTTTACTTGGACAAAAAACAGACACGGTCAATCCTTTGTGATGGTAAAATATTATTTTTATTTATAAGACAATATTAAGAAAACAGAACTTACTTTAGTATTGCTTGGTAAATTATTCTCTTGGCTGTGATATTGTCGTGAGAGATGTGTCGGCCTTAAATTTTTGAAAAATCATTTGTATTTAGCTTTTGATATTTGCATGTCGAGACAGTTTTATAAAAAGAAAGAATTAATAATTTTTACTGCGCTTTTTAAAATGTAAATCAAAATGTTTTAAGATTTTTAGCAACTAAATAAGATAAATTTCTATAGTTTTTGTGGAGTATAATTTAAATGCAACCATGACGTATATAATTGAAATAAAATTATAGGAGTAATTTTTTTATGCCTTTTTCGCAAGTCCTACAAAAGAGCATTAAATTTTTTTAAAAAGTTAAATTGCTCAAAAACTAAATGTATTACAAAAAAAAAAAACAATGTTATTTACTTTTAGAAAAATAACCAAAAAAAGCAGAGAAAATTTCAAGTTTTGAACACAAAAAAAAAGGCAGTAACAAAAATTGAGCATTGATTATTGAATGTAACCCTGCCTCGGATGTCGAAAAGAGATTCTCCGCCTCATGCTCCTGTTATCCTCCGTGTGCCGACCGAAATATTAATCACAGAGTGAGAAATCGTCCTGCGCAGAAGAATGAGATCCACTTCACCAGAAGCGCTTTGCTTTTCTTGATTTATTTGCCCAAGTATGTTGCAACTTTATCAGTTTTCTTTTTATATATTTACCTTTTGATTTTGTCTTATCTTTGAGTTTTGCGTGTCTATTCACTTTGCCATCGCTTATTACTTTATTGTTTTGTAATGAACAATGATGGTGATCGTTGATCCTCCTATAAAATTTACGGGTTTTTTTTAATGATGTGATTGGCCCCTTTTGTTTAGAGAGAAACAAAAATTGCTAAGATTGAACTTCATTTCGGGCAAATTTGGTATAATTGAACTGGGGCAAGATTGTGTGCTCTTCTCACTCCCCCTGCCCCTTGGGGGTGTGTTTCATTTGAAAAAAAAAAAAAAGGATTTCTCAATGAGCAGAAGCAATTAAGCACCAGTTGTGGTTGAAGGCTGTTAGCAATTATCCATTCGACGTGTTATTGTAAAGTGTAGTGGGCATTGCAGAACTCGCCTTGGTGTTTTCTTTTCTTTTGGCTTTCGTGATATTAGTTCAGGGTTGGTCGATCTAACTAAGAGTTTTAATAATCCATGATCCTTTTTGATTTATGTGATGATCTATGGTTAAGGATCCATGTTTGTGGCTTCGTCTCTTAGGTGCATGTGCAAAATTCCTGCATATCAGAGGGCAAATTTTCTAATATATAGGTTGGATGTTTGTAATTTGAATCCAATAACCTCATTCTATTAGCTGTTTTTGTTCCTGTGTTGTGAGGAGTTTTGCGTTTTCTTGCTTGCTTATTATCTACAAAGTGAGTGTTAGAAGATAGTGACAAATTTGTACTCATATAGTTGCTTTACTGACATAAGATCTGGGTGATGTTACCTAAATATTCTGTTGATAGGGGTGCTCCATGCTGACCCTTCATGTTGACTTGACTTGAAATGTCTATCATAATTTGCTTATTGACTAACGTGTTGGTTGGTGTGATGTTGAATTACTTGCATCATTTTAAGTTTTAGCTTTCATTGGATTGACGTGCTGCCTTATGGTTTGCAGAATTTTCAAACTCTGCAGCTTCAAAATTCTGTTAAACAAATTGTCAGGCTGTAGAGGAGAATGGCAGAGACGATATCTAGCTTCTGGGGTCCAGTCACATCTACCATAGAGTGTTGTGAAAAAAATTATGAACGTTCCTCCTACATTGCAGAATTTTATAACACATTATCCAACATTCCAACCATCCTTTTGGCACTTATTGGTCTTATAAATGCTGTAAGACAACGTTTTGAGAAAAGATTTACTGTGCTTCATTTATCCAATATGGCACTTGCCATAGGAAGCATGCTGTACCATGCCACACTGCAACGTGTGTAAGTATTGGTCCCCAAAATCCCTTCAACGGTTGAAGTTAATTGATGCTGGTTGTTGGCTCGTTTTGTGCACTTTAGAGTTACTTTGTTGCGTCCAATAAGTTTGGCAGGTTAGAAATATTTTTTGATTAATTGAAGAAATTAAGTCCTAAGATGCTTAAGGGATATATGTATAACACCCTTTATTTTTGGTTGTGTGTATATATGTAGAAACAGACCCTGGCTAAAAGTTGCTATTGGAAATTATTGAAACAGACCTTTTTGTTTTTGGGAAGGGCGCTCTTTTCAACAAAATTATGGAAAGTTGACGAGTTATTGGCATTGCTATACAATGGTCATAATTATTTTTTTATTATAATTTGGACTTACGAGTTATTTTTCGGCCTTCCATCATTAAGACAGTGACTTCTTAATTTTTTTGGGGCCACATAGTGACTTCTTTTTAATATGAAGTTTTAAATTTTGGAGCATTAGCTGGAATAATAAGTTCCTTAACATACGATGGATCCATAAAAGGTTAAAAGCTTAAAATAGGTTATCTTTCAGTTTTCCTGGCTGAGTAGGAACTTTGAAAGTTTATACATGATGAGTGGATGTATCCAACTTGTGTCCTGGTGATGCAGTTGTTTGATGGAGCGGACCCACCCCAATTTCATTTCCAAATTTACTGACATAGGATGTAAAGTATGGATCTTGTGTGTATAAATCTTTGAGTGCTTGCTCCGGCTCATTATGGCAACTTTTCTTCTTCATTTGTTGAATAATTGGACTAGGCTGTTAGGTGTGTGTCTATGATAAGAATGTTTCTTCTTTTTGTTTAATTTGTCAATTAGTAAGTAAATGTTTGCTTGGGATCACTATTTATTCATCTCATTTTGAACTTTAATTTAGGCAACAGCAGAGCGACGAAACTCCTATGGTATGGGAGATGCTTCTGTACATGTACATCCTCCATTCGCCAGATTGGCATTACCGCAGTACAATGCCCATCTTCCTCTTCCTATATGGAGCTGTTTTTGCCATTGTCCATTCAGTGGTCCGTTTGGGTATTGGCTTCAAAGTGCACTATGTCATTCTTTGTCTCCTCTGCATTCCGAGAATGTACAAGTATTACATCTACACTCAAGATGTATCTGCCAAGCGGCTTGGAAAGCTATACATTGCTACTCTTGTGTTAGGCAGTTTGTTTTGGTTTGTTGATCGTGTTTTCTGCAAGGAGATATCCCGCTCCCCCTTTAACCCACAGGGTCATGCTTTGTGGCATGTCTTCATGGGTTTCAATTCCTACCTTGCAAACACGTTCATGATGTTTTGCCGTGCTCAACAGCGTGGGTGGTCTCCAAAAGTTGTCCATTTAATGGGCATTTTACCTTATGTGAAGATTCAGAAACCAAAAACCCAATGAGAGAACTTGAAAGGAGAAGATGAAAGCTTCTCCATCATCATACATTTTGGCAAAAGCTAAGTCTTTAGCAAGCTATGTTTCATGCTCAATTTTTTTGTTTCTGTTTTAGGTTGTCTGAAATGATGATTGATTATTTATATATTTTGTTGTAGAAGTAGGACATGTGCCATATTTATGTGGTCATACTCATATTTTCTTCAGCCTGGAGTATTCCTACTTTTAAAATTGCTTTGACAACAAAGACCTTTGTTTTGCTGTACTGGATGTTGTTGGACATGAGATTAACCCCTCAATATTCTACTTGTAATGGATTTTGACTTTACTAAATTTTATGTGTAGCTCTTTAGAAACTCATGCGGTTGTGTTGGTTTTATTCGGAATTTTTCCTTCGCGTTAGCAGTTTTAGTTTGGACAAAACTTAGCTGCTGCAGTTTTGACATTTTTTTCAATGACATTTTTTTCAATCAGATTCTCTAATTATAGTATAGTACGTGGATATGGAAAACTTGATAGCAAACACCCAAGTATGTGCACCTTAATTCTGTTCTTCCGGTGGGTAGGACATTATGTATCTGTGCCTTCTGCCTTGTAGTGATCTGACCTGTCACTATTGTGATGCTTTTAAAAACCATCTTTAGTCCGGTTTTATCCCATTGGAATTTTGATTCGTACTTTCTTCAAGCTTTAACCTTCAGCATAAACTCTTCTTTCCCAGGCATAGCATAAACTTTTGTGGGGACTCATTGGTAGCAGAGTTTCTTAGTTGGACCTTAAATTATTTATGCCCTGTGAAGTGGCACTTTGCTAATTGTACAGATATTTTATTGCAGCTTGGTAATATTCTTGTCGGGAGAAAATTCAAAACCTTGGGTTATGATTATTATCCGAATGGGGATTCCTACTTACTGTTTATTTGCAGGATAATTTGCTTTATTTATAGCTGCACAAGAGATCGAAGGTTATGTTTTGCATAATGTAATTTATGAATGATGGTGAATAAAATTTAACCTTTTATTTCTTTTGGCCCAAGGATAAATGTATATTTCAAGATAGTGGTGTTCTAACGAATTTTGTTTGATATTCATTGGTGAGGGGTCAGGGAATGTATGTACCTACGAGACGAAGCCTTTGAGTAAATCACCATTCTGTGGCATCAGCTTCTGACCGTAGGAGAAAGTACCCCCACCCCCGAAGAAAAAGAAACGCGCGCTATTGAGTACAGTACAATTAGGCAAGATGATCTGTTTTTGGGGGGGGGGGGGGTGGGGAATTTTGGACACGTTTCAAGGGAATTATACTTTGGGTCTTGGACGTAATTCTTATTGACAATTATGACATACCATATTAACTGTTTATTCTAGTAAGGATAAAATTGATGGTAATTTTTTGAAAAATTATACTTATGGCCCCTAAAAAAGAATTTATTAACAAAATATTTCATAAAATTCACAAAATATTCTTAAATTTTAAGTTTTGTACATTTACAACTTGACAAAAGATATTTATAATTGAGTAATGGGCATTGATAATTTATAGAGGAAATGATAATGTGTAATAGTAAGTTATAAATATTCACTATCATGTTGTAAATATAAAAGATTTAAAATATGAAAGTATTTGGTAAATTTTTTGTGTCCTTTTGGTAATAAATTATCTTTTGTGGAACTTGAGTGAAATTTTTCCTAATTCTTTCATGAGAGATCCAAAATGTCATATTTCTCTCGTCCATTTTCCCTAGGAATTCAAGACCAGTAGAACCCACTTGTCAAGGATTCATACGTATATTCACCACATCACTAAGAGTGATGAAGAGCAAGAGAATCCAAATTTTACTTCTGATGGAAAACATGTATCATTCGCTGTAATAGATTATCAAAACGATGTCAAAATGCAGTAGATTATTTTCGATGCTCCAAAACTTGGGAAGTTTTGAATTTATAACCCAATCTTCTTGCAAGAATATAAGATATATTTTACAATTCAATATTACAATGTTGCCTCGTGTAAGGTCATACGTCATAACTGAAACTCCATGAAGTATTTCCCTCCGAATTTATTACAGATTTTCGACTCTTGGTCGAAATTCAAACGCGTTCTGAGATTCTGAATCATTGGTTTTCTATACCAGCGACTTTTAAATGGCATGCCCATATCACCGTAGTGTACGATTGGCCAAGAGGAGATATTATAATGGTCACAACTCACGGTAAACTGTACACATCTTGACACCTACCTCAAGCTTCTGAATCTTTTCAATCATATATTGGCTAGCACTTATAACTTCGATTTCACAGTGTGGAGCATTCTAAATTTGATCTAGGACTGCCCAACGATCTTCCCTTCCAACATTTGCCCAAGCCTCAGATACAAAGCTTCTTGTTCTTCAAAGGATAGGTTCATTAATATCTGAGGCAATCATCACCGTTAGAATTGCATTTGTCAAATGTTAAGCTTAATGGAAAGGAAAATCATGATATAGTTGACACAATTACCTGATCCAGAACCATTTCAACTGACAAACTTTGAGGCACAACAAATGATTGATGATAGATATATGCAAAAACAGCCATCAACATCTACAGTGGAAAAAGACAGCAAAAAATTGATTAACAAGGAAGACTGAACTATTTGACAATCATCAATAAGCAAAAGAAACCAAACTATTCACAAGTCATGAACAATATGGTTCTTCTCATGCCCATTTTAGTTTCTTATTCTTTTGAAAAGGGAAGAACGTGAATAGTAAAATAAATGAATCAATTCTTCTGATGTATAGTTTAACTAGAGGCAACAAATAAGCCAATGCTTAGTCATACATTCAACCAAAATACTTCTTACATAATGACATCAATGCATCCTTCTATTCTTGACAGCGTGCACCTAACATCCCTACTCACTACCCAACAAACCACTTCATAGACTATTATCAATGCCAAATGTTCATTGATCATGAAAGGATCCCAGAATGTTTTCGAGGATAAACAAAAATAATTGATAAGGTTATCTTTCAATCTGCACTTTTACTTACTGCTCAAGTGCTCATGATAATCTTCACAGTTAGTTCTTTCTGTTGGATTATTTTTTAGGGGGAACTAGGACGCAGGATGAAACTGGGCAAGCTAAGCCTAAATCTAGTTTTCGAATTGTGAAATAGAAAATATCTACTCAGGCAGAAGGGGTACGTACGTTGTTGAATGTGTTATCAGTATTGTGTGGATGTGCTATATTCAAATAATCAATACTCTACCTGGCAGTCCATCCTGTCAGTAATTCCACCATGTCCCGGGATACTATCACCAAAATCCTGCAGAATTGAAGAATACAGAGAAGAACGATTAATACAAGTTACCAGAAAATAATATTTGCTCATTTGCTGCATTACAAAAGCACCAAATCCAGACCTTTATTTTAAAAGCTCTTTTGAAACCACTTGCAAAGAAACCACCAAAAGGTGCAATAATAGAAGCAAATAAGCCAATACAGAGTGCATGCCATTGAACTGGTAGGATGGATATCTCTTTCCAAGGAAACTGCACCAGATTTGTCAGAGTCGATTAGAGATTGTGGATTGGCATCTCATAATTACACCATAATAATCAGATTTATAAGCTGAAATGGCATGTAACAGATATGAAATTTAACCTTCAGTAGTAGCTCAAAGATCCAAGGTAAACTGCAGAAACATCAATTTCAGGTGAAATCATCCATCTACTTTGGGTTATTAGCAAACACCCTCAACTTTCAAAACCAAAAATTTCTCCCTGAACTATCTCCCTTCAGAATCTAGATCTTTCTATCAGTTCTCTGTTAACATCACTGACCAATATTCCACTTTAGACTCCTTCATTTGTCACTTTGCATGCTCTTATTGGTTAGCAACTAAAATACAGTGGTTAAAATATTAAAATAAGGGTTGTGAAAGAAACTAAACATTTGAGTTGACAGGGTTTAAGGAGAGCTAGCAAGAGGCTCTAAATCCTCAAGGAAAATATTCCAAGGGGGCATTTACCATTTTCAACAGTGGACGGATGCTGGTGTTGTATGTTGGGAAAAGAGAAGGAGGGGGGGTATTTGCATTCTCCCCTTTATTTTAAGGGGAAGGGGAGGCACGCATAACATTTTTAGCCTATGCGAACTAAAAGAATTCAAATGAACTTCCAAGGAATAACACTATAAAATTTTCAAAACCTATAAGTTAGAGGTTCACGGAAATTACAGAATAAATATTGGTTGTATTAACCCACGAACAGATTGCTGCCAAATTAACTGATTTTATAGAGGATAACATTCTAACTCAATATCATATATCCTGCACTGTAGACTGCTGAGCAGAAATCGTTGAGTTACAAGAATTTTCATGCTGAATATCAAATACTTACAAAGAGAGCAATCCATCCTGGTAAGGCAAAAGGCTCTGGTTTAAAAAGTGGGCCAGGGTCACATTGAAGCCAACCAGTTGACAAATCCTGCACGTTATTCCCAGGGAGATAAAACCAAGTTACTTGAATGTTGAATAATGCCCTATCAATGAACCATGGTCTCTTAAGGAGCTACCTTCCTAGGACATGTTAGCCACTGAGAGTGACCCATGAAGTTTGCTAGCTGCAAAAGGAGATTTGTAGAATTACATTAATGTCTGTTCGTACAACTTCATTTCTGTACACATCGGGACAGATGTACTATTAAATTAAGGAGAGCCTACATGTCTTTTCCTTTTTCATAACCACATGCATATAAATATGAATTGATATAGCTAAGTGCTCAAGAGGTTTTTACTCTTTTTTCTTTTCGGTCCAGAAGAAACAAAAAGGGTTTAATATATCAGAAAAGACCATTTATAAGGGATCCCCAATAGTATACTTTGTATGCTGATAATAATACATCATACAACTTTCAACTGACTCATGAGAACCTAACAGTAAGGACATTAGATTTAGGTCCTCCACAATAAAAAATAACAAACCAACCGAAAAGGCAAGGGGAATGAATTGTGAAAACAGAATAACAGTTAGTGGATGCAGAAAAGCAAGGGCAAGCAACACAAGTTTGTTTCAAGTATTTTTTTTACACCACTTGCGACTTAAGAATGATGAGTGCATTGTGCCAACTGTAGACCCATCAGCAACACCAAACATCATCAACATTATCATGCACTTAATTGCTACAACTTTCGCTACAACTTTCACAATCAAGCTTTTGTATAGCTCATTTAGGCTTTTGCAACCACATATATTTTGATTGAATGAAATTTACATTATTTCGTAAGTAATTCTGGTTAGTTGAACACCTCTCCCTCCAAAAGGGGGAAAATCCATCTTCATCACAAAATTAATGGAAGTCAAGCTCACCAGAAATGCAGAGATGATAGTCGTAACTGATGCCCCAATAAAACCTTCCCATGTTTTCTTTGGAGATAGCTTTATCAGAGGGGTTCTTCCAAAGAAGAAACCAAAGATATAAGCAGCGATGTCATTAATGACAATAAGGGAGGCTGGAAGAAGAAACCTGCATTATGAGCCCACTTCTCAGAGAAAACAAGCAAAATGTTAAGCAATAAAGTATTTCATGGTCAATTCCAAGAATCCAAGTATACGAAGTCTTAAAGTCACCAAAGAGAAACTGTGAAAAATTAAACATTACCACACAAAAAAACAAATTAATGTGGGCCATTCAAAATGAAGAGCCAATGTCGCCTGAAAACAATCCAAGCAAGGAAAAGGAAATGTATTGGCCTGCTCAAATGAGGAGGGAGAGGGCTTGGAGGTATACTAAAAAAAGACTAATCCTATGCAAACAAAAAGTACCAATTGACAAAATTTTCTCAATCTATAAGCTTTATCTTTTAACCCAACAGGCTTCATTGTCGCCTAATGACAATCTCAACCACCAGATCCCAATATTGCAACCAGAATCTCAACAGGCTTCAGATAGACTATAACAACATAAATAACTTCAAATGATCCCAATATTGCAACCAGAATACCAGAAAATATTTTTACTCATTCACTGGTTAAGTGCAAATCAAACTGAATGACATCCAGAAATTATTTTGTTTGAAGCAGTTCTTCATATTTTAAACTCAATGCCCCTTCATAGTTCATACCAAAAAGGAGAAGTTCAGACCTGAAGATATTAACTTAAACTAATTTCTTACTTTTTTCACATTGGCACCTTAATTTATTCGTTAAGCACACATGAAGATACATCCTTGCTCAAGTCCTTGCACTCTCTCTTAAAAAGTTAAAATATATACACCATTCGGCATCAATAACCTGTCCAATAATTGTCCAAAGCAGGTCAACTTAAAACTATAATGTAAGGAATAAATGACATTTTAGTCAATCAAGCTCTCAAAAAATTGTCCTTGTGGATAAAGAGTGTCAGCAGCCATCAAGTAAATATCATGAAAAAGACAATTCAAATGTAACCCAGAGTAATTATGAATATATTTTCAAAATACTCATTAGTTCCCTCAGATAGACCATATTACCAGAATATTCCTTCAAAAATGTTTGCCACGGTGAAGGAGGACTGCGTAAACACAACAATCAGAATCATATGTGTCCAGGCATACTGACCAAATTGATACTTGTACATCTTCTTCTTTAATGTGAGAATGAACCACATAAATCCTGAGTTCAGTCATGGAAAGGGAGGAATATCAAAATGTTAGCATCCATGCATTGACAAGCAATGGCAAGTAAAACAACAATCTTCAAATAACTACCAAGAAATATATCAAGCATTTGATAGACCTTGCCCTAGCAATCAAGATTTCAAAGTTAACGTGTGCATGTTACCTGCAATGTACAAGGAGTAGCAGATGGCCATATGATATTTTACAAGGCTGCTCACGAGCTGATATAAAACTTTGTCTAAGGTCACTGTGTTAACAAGGCGTTGACTCAGAATACGCCCATATACAAACAACATCGCAGTGAAGAAAAAATGCCTGCAAAAGTTCAAAAATAAATCAATACCAATCAAAAAGAAATAAGCAATACGTCATTCAATAATTAGTAAAAGCTGGCTTTTCAATTACTAGCTCTTTTTATGAAAACAAGTAACACTATTATGAGGGAAAAGAAAAAGTGGAAAATACCAATTCAAAAGCCTAAATCCTGGCAGCTGCCTATCTTCATGAGCTCTTCTGAGTAGATTGAAGAGCTCTCTTGCCATAAAGATCTGGATGACAATAACCATGGCTGTAATGTAGAGGTGACCCATGTAGATGGTTAACACAAAGCCCCCAATCATCCAAAGGGTTGAGCAAGTGCGGATCCACATGGACTTGTATTTGTTCTTGTCATGAACAAGTAAATGGTTCCCATTTGCTTTGCTAATTTCTGTATCAGCCTGAGATAAAGATGTTATCAATGAATCATTCCCAAGTTTACTAAATTTTTCAATAGAAATTGAGCCTCGATTCTCAAATCAGTCACCTTCCAGTGATTGTTTTCTCCAATTATAATTCCTAGACAATTTTCAAGTTCCATCTAAATGATAGGATCACCTAAGCATAGATGGAACCATTTCCAATATGAATGCCACCATTACACTAAAGTGACAAGTAAAATATTTAAATAGCTAACCTCATTTGAACGTTTACGATGCCTACTTCGAATTGTCGGAGATGAAACAGCACTAGTATTAGTATCCTTATCCTTCTGCATAGCTCTTCAATCAGATATTAGCCAGTTGGAAACAGTGCAAAAGGGACATGTGAAGCACGGGATGTAGACACCTGCAAAATTGATGGCATATACTCTTTTGGTTTACAGAAGCATTATTCCCAAAGCAATGTATTATCTATTAATTAGACTAAAGTAAACGTCCCAGCAGGCCTGTTTAATTAGTCAACTTCACCAAGTGAAAGACTTGACAATAAAATCTCAAATCATATGGCAAATCCTAAGGTAATTGAATGTCCAGGAAGGGATAAAAGGGAAAACGTCAAGCCTCTAACTGTAATAGTTGAGCTGGCTAAGTGAATGTTTTGCAAATGAATCTTCCTTTGCCATTTCCATCCTATAGAGAGCTAGATTCTTCCACATACCTCTTGCATATTTAACCACCGTTATATAATTCACCGTCTCATTCCTCAACTGTGATAATCTTCTTTCAACACCATGGCATCTATATAAGCAGAGCCTCAAGGATAACAAACGATCCTAATTTCAACATGTAATTACTCAACCACCTTATCAACCACAACTTTGCCCCACCACTTACTCTATACTTCCTGCATCATACAGCATGGTACCATAGCTAACATTTAGCGAATGCCTAATGTGTACCTTTGAATTCTAGGTATCCTCAATGACACAAAACTTGTGAATGGTGACCATTATTAGCTCTATAATTGCAAGAGTGCACTGGCACAGTGCTGATCCTTAATACTAATCCAGATGCATAGTTGAACCAAAAGGAACATCTTCATAACTACTACATAAATAGTACTAGGCAAGTTTGGCTACTGAATGCACCTAAAGATGCCCCTCACGAGTTATTTAAATTTACCCACCCGATGTTACCATAATAAAATTAGATATTGATGCCCAAAACCTCCATTAAGTCGTCTTACGTGGTACCTACAACTTCCTAATCTTGAATAACCACTCCGCTATTAAATTCAGTAACACAGAACCTTATTTCCAGAAATGAATAGACATAGCCAACATATAACGACTTCTACATTTCCCCAAGTAATTCGGATTTAGGCTTGAACTTCAATATCAGTCAGTACCGTTCCAGTCCCCAACTCCCCACTCCTTCCCTTCATACTGAGTTCAAGTATCAAACAAAACCAAACGTTCAAGATTTTTCAAGAAGCTTAACGGATTAGCATCCGGTAACTCACCTCCAAGAAATGCGTACGACGAATATAAAATAAAAACAAGTGGGAAAATAAATACTGACGAATTTCAAAGAATAAACAACATTCAAGGCAGGAGTCTAGATTTAAAATCAGGAACAGTTGTTTCAAGTTAAATTTCAATCAGAGGTGAAGTACTCGAACCATAGGATCAAACCAGGCAGAGAAAATGCAAGAAAAAAATATCGACAGATGAAATATCTAAGAAGGTAGCGAATGAGTGAGAAATCGTGAAGGCACAAAACCTGGTTTGATTCTGCTCAGAGGAGGAAGTGTATGAAAGACAACAAAAAATGAAAAACTGAAGAAGAATAGCAAGCGAATAGGAACAATAATAGAGGCCGAAGAAGCAAAAGGCAAAACGAACGACGAAGCCTTCTTTACTAGAAAATTAGTTGCTGATTAGGCCAAAAAAAAACAAGCAAAGAGAGAAAGAAAATTAGTTGCTGTGCAAGCGAAAAATAATAATTGAAGAGAATAATGCCAAATTAAATTATATATATTTTTCACTGAACTTTATTAAAGTTATTCCATTTTTATTTTGAAAATAAAAAATAGGTTTATGAAATTAAAGCGTGGCATAACATTTTGTTTTTTAAAAAATAGATGTTTAAAAAATACAGCGAATTTTATTTTTAACAAAATATTAGAAGGTATAATTCACTCGATTTATTAGTTTTATTTATTTGTTTGTTTGTTTCTGCCTTTCTGATTCAGTTTTGCGGCAGATACAAAATTTCTAGAGAATGTGAAAAATATATTGGTCAACTTGAAAATTCATCGTGGCAAAGAAAAAATTGAAAATGAAAATTCAGGGTTGAACGCCTGAAACGTGGGAGCATAAGCTGGCTGACACGTTGGCAGATCATATGTTCATTCTCGTAACAATATATTTTATTCATATATAATAATATAAAATGTCATTTGAAGATATTGTATTACTTTAGATACCAAAAAAAATCATTGGTTAAAGAATTAATAATTAAAATTATAATTAAATAATGATTATATTAATTATAAATAAAATATTTTATTAAATCGATCAAGATATTAATTTAATAATTTATCTATTTAGCCGATCGAGTTAACTCAAATTTATATATTATACATTATTATTTTTTTCAAATTTTATGAAAAACACTTTATTTGTACGAGTTTTGTGAAAAATATAAAAATTTAAATATAAAAAAAGATAAAATGATAAAAAAATCTTTCAAAAATATGTAAATAATAATAAAATTTTGTGAAATGTTATAATTTTATTTAAGTTTTTAAAGACCTTTCTAATATTAATATTTTGATAAAATGATTAAAGTACCCTCAGTTTAAACTAAAATAGTAACAAATATTTAAAATACTTATATGTCAATGAATCACAAATTTTCATATAAAAAATTATAATTATTTGTTTCGTTCTAATTATTATTAGAAGAAAAATATTTATTTTTTAAACTAAAGTAAAAAAATTGGCACAGAGAAGTTACAATTAACTATTATATTTTAATCATTATTAAAAAAAGTAATTGATATTTAAATTAAAATAGTAAAAATATTTACAACATTCAAATTTTAGTAAATAAAAAATGTGTACAAGAAAAGTTATAATTGCTTATTATATTTTAATCATTGACAAAAGAAAATTAACCATTATTTAAACTAAAATAATTATTAATATTTTTTTATGGCAAGCGTTGTCATTTTTTTATTTTTGTCATTTCACTAACAATCATTAATATTGTAAAAGCCTCTAAAAATTTGAGAAGTATTATGACATTTTATGAAATTTCATTATCATTTGTATATTTTAAAAGAACTTTTTTATCATTTTCCTGAAAAATAAAGAGTTCAAAATAGATATATACATACATATATATATATATATATATATAATATTCAAATCAATCTATACCTTTTTAAAAATGTAAATCCTGCTATAAAATGTTAACATAATTTGATACACAAAGAATGAGGATTTTTTTTTTATTTTTAGATTTTATAATATGAAGTATATATTGACATATATACAATAACGAGAACTTTAAATTGTTGCAATAATAGTTTTTAGTTTTTAACGTTTTGGTCAATTTAAGTCATCAAGATCAATGCTGTTCTTTCAGTGAGTGTACAATCCCTGTATTTATGATCAATTTCAATCAAATTTTTACTATTATCAAATATCACTGGAATAATCACATCATTATTACATTAGTAACATGTCATTTAAAGTTGGGAATACAGGCGGATTCGGTTTTTAAGGGTTTGGTTCTTATGGGCTCGGTCCTTTAGGACCTAAACTCTAAAATCCGATTTCTCATTTTGACCCCCATTTTTCAAGCCCGACCCTTATACTTAGGGTTCAGGGCCAGGCCCGTAAGCCCTTTTTAAAAAAATAAAAAATTAAAATAAAATTAAACATTATAAATAAATTAAAATATTTTAAAATTAAAAAAATTAAAATCATCATAATTTTTTAAAAATTAAATAACATACATTAGAAGTCTAGTAATAAAATTTAAATCTTCATTTAAAAAATAGTTCATTTTTTTATAAATATACAAACATAATAATTATAGAAAAATAAAAAATATCATAAATTTTATACTATACATTGATATTTATTAAATTATATTAAATTAATTTTATAATAAATTAAAATTAATAATAATATAATGTATGTAGGATCAGGTGAGCAGGTTATTGATTTCAAACACGTGTTTTACTAAAAAAAATAATAATAAAAATAATATAACAGGGCTTGAAGGGTAGCCCGGGCTCGAGCCCTATTTTACAGGGCTTATCAGGACTAAGCCCTTAAGCCCGATTACTTTAAAAAAAATTATTTTTAAAGCCCGAACTCTTATTTAAACAAGGCTTTTAAGCCCGATCCTTCAGATTCAACCTTTATTCCCAGCTCTAATGTCATCTTTAAATATCAGAGTTTTTAATACTATACTGTGTCAGTAGGCAAGTACAGAAAAATTATTTTTAAAAAAAAAAAGAAGAAAGAAAGAAAGAAAAGAATCTTGACAAAAAAAGCGTGGGAGGATATATTCATTTTCCAAACTGTAAAGATTGGTACATGTTCCACTGATTGCTTTGTATTTGAGAATATTGAAAGTGGGGTCTCAAGATAAGGGATTCTTCTATGGTGCCTCAACCAGATAAGTTTGTGGTACGCATATAAGACGTCACTACAAAGGCATTTGACAAGTGGCAGTAAGATCATGGGGTCTAATTCTAACCTCTAAAAACCACCACAAATCTGATTTTTTTCCCCATATGTTTCAATTTTGAATATATACTACCAAAAAATAATGACTCGAACTTGACACGCTGGCACAATTAGTCAGATGGGAATCGTCCTCCAGGAAAAAGATCAAGAAATATCAAACTTCAATCTTATACTTTGCTATTGCACATTTAGTTTAACATGGTGCATTTATAGAGGGTGCAATAAAGAATTTCACCCTTATGATCATGTTTGGCATCATTAAATTAACAAGGTGAAAATAAAATTAAAAATAAAATTTTAATTAAAGTATGTTTGATATGCAGGAGTTGCAATTCTTAACAATCTTAATTTTATCAAAAATGTTAGAATTTAATTTTATCATATTAACCATGAAATTGTTTTAATTTTCTTGAATTCATTTTGTAGACCCCACTGTCCTCATCTTTTTTGTCCATTTATGGCAAGGTAAGTCTTTTTAATTTTGAGAAAAAAGGATAATTTGGTCTTTTCTTATTTTAAGTACATATACTAATTAATATTATATTAAAATTTTATTTTCATGTCAAATGCACTTTTAAAATTTAATTCTATTTCAATTTCAATGATAATTTTGATTTCAATTTCAATTTCATTAAAAATTCTTTCATCATATCAAGTGGGGCTTTAGTTTAGCATGGAAGAAAGAGAATAGAATTCACATAAAACTTTTTTGTTTAATTTTTTCCCCTAATTCTAAATTTAAAAAGGCTAGCGTGCATATATATATATATATATGTATGTATGTATGTATGTATACATGATTTTGACGTGTGCACGTGCGCACACACATATTTGTGAGCACTTATATGTATATGTGTGTATGTATTTTTTTTTGTCACCACCGGCACTTATATTTTATAGAAAAAAATAATCATTTAATTTTTATAATTTTAATTTGTTTAAAGCTTAATTTCTAAATTTTAACTTAATATAATTTAATTCTTGTAGTTTTTGGCTAAGTTGACTCTATCCTTGAATTTTGACTCTGCACGATTTAGTCATATAGTCTTAACTATTTAAAAAATTAGCTAGTTCTTAAATTTTAGAAAATAAAATTATTAAGACTAAAGTTCTTAAAACTTAAGGACAAATATTTTAAATTGTTAAAACTCTAGGAACCAACAAGTTAGAACGAGTGAAAGTTTATGAAATAAGTTTTAACAAAGTTAAAATTATAAAAATTAAATTGCATCAAGTTAAAATTTAAAAATTAAATTATAATCAAGTTATATGAACAAACTAAATGATTAATTTTTTTTTTAATTTTGCATCATTGAAATATAGAATTCCATCGATCACCTAAATAAGTATTATAAATGCCATCGTATATGTAGGTTGACTTTATTTAAATTATGATATATATAAAATATAACAAAATCATAAAACTCTTGTTAGAATGTCAAATGTGAGTTGGTTTGCTTGCTATGAGAAAAGTTTCACAATATTTTAGGTTTTGAGTTAAAATGTCATATCATATTTATTTATACATGTTTTTTTTTTTTTGAAACGCAAGGCCTGGCTACATGTTCTCCCAAGATACTCCATGGCCCAACAATACTTACTAAAAGATGTCTCATACTGAAAGATAAAACGTCATTAAAATGAGCGAGTGGAAGCATAGAGCAAAGAAGACATTGATTGGATTTAACTAAGACCATGGATGTGCATTTTCATGATGATCGTTAGCTCTGTAATCTTGCAGTTTCCTATACTTTGATTTTATCGCCAGATTTAGTAAACATTATATTCCAATTATATGATCTTCTTGAACCAATGCCTAGTTCTAGTAACTTCACCACATTGCAAAACTCTCTACATTAAGAATATCGGAGCTAACGTCCTTGTTGTCGACAATCAATAATCCTATGTATCTTAATACAAATTGGAAAATATTTACGTCGAAACATCGTCCTATGAATTATGAGCAATACGATTTGAAATAGTATTATATATTATTATTACCTTGTCATCAAGTTAGGCTTGATCATGAAGTCAAAGTTGATGATCTCTACGTACGTACTCACAGTGACAAAAACCAAGCAGTGATTTCGATCGTGAAGATTTATGCATGATTCTCCCTCTTGATCTCGCCGTCACAGAATCTCCTTCGTTATATACCCCTCTCATTCACCT